TCAATGGTGAGGAGTCCGGAAGTTCTCTAGTATTGTTCTATGGAGGTACTAATATTTGAGCCATATGGAATACCTCCAGTGCTATTATACTAACAGAAGCATGATCTGTGGAGTTTCCTGCCTTTATGAGTAAGATTACCCTTGGTGTACAATTCTTTGGAAGGGTACTGGTGTAAAAGGAGTATCGTCCTGTTTACAACCCTCTCGTGTGGATAATACTTCCATTTGAACAAGATATTTCCTGAACGAGTACTCACGGCTTGCAGTACTCTTATGGAGACAGTACAGATATATGTATAGTACTCATATCTAAGAATGCCTGATATGGCTGGTACGACGACATTTGATGGGTGGCAAAGTTAATCCCGTATTATTAAGTAAAGTAAAGAGAGGTGCAGAATTTATGACTTAGCTTTGTGCCGTATGAGGAGGGCCAACCGTTACGCAATGTGTAGGAGTTGCAGTAGTACCTCCGTATAGAGGGTACCTTTTTGTAGGACACATGGACGTGTGAATTTCATTGTTAGTCCAAAAGGACTAATGTTATGTATAGAGTAGTTTCTCCTGATGAGTACAAATGTCCTTGGAATAACTTTATTTGCAGGGTCGTCATGTTGGTATAATGGCTGGATGATATGACTTGGGCGATTCTGCAGATCCCATAGGTGGATTCCAATCATTTCGTCTAAACACCAGAGCTATGCCAGATGTACTATAATGTTAACCGTATTATTGTGTCAAGAATATTAATTTTCGAGGTGTGTCATTATTCGTAGGGTAATATTCTATGAGGTGCATGAATACTCTACAAGGGCAGATGACAAGGAAGTATACATGTGTCCCCATTTCCCATGATGACGAATGCGGAGATTCTCGTAGTACTGTTATATGAAGGTATTAATGGATGAGCTATACTGATATCTGCAGAGTATCATTCTTTTAAGAGGATAGTTCTATAAAACGTACGGATGATCTGCAGCGCAGTCTTGTGAGCGTACTGATATCTCCCTAGAGTGATGTCTTGGAATGCACAACTGTGGTGGGATTCTGGATACCCCCCATGTACAATTATTAAAAGAGGTGGAACTTCATGGCCTACTGTTTAGGCTTCTATTATAGGGAAAGCACCCTATTCCGGAATTCATAGTACTCCCTGGAGTATTATTATATTAACAGCCGTATAATGTGTGGAACTGCATGATTGGGGGAGTAGTGCTCGAGCAAGTGTCCACATGTGCGTGAAGGAGTATTGTCTAAGAATTACTTATTCGCTCCGACGGGTAACATTCCCAGAGTACTATTATGTGAATAGTGGCGATGTTTTCGGAGTATCAATATATTAAGCATAACATTGTAAAGTGAATACTACTGTACAAGGAGTACTATGATTTAAAGTGTATGAACCTGCATGGAGTATTGTTATCCTTATCCGTCGTCCAGGCCTACAATGATATTGTATGAATAAAACACATGTATCATGTAGAGAGATATACATAGTGTACGATTAATATATAAAGCATAGCATGATATGGACTGTATATATGTGTCTAAGATGTCAATACTGATAAAGAATACAGCTGTATCGGGAATATTATTCTATAGGTTTACCGCTTATGCTGTTATTGTAAGGAAGGGAAAATATTTTACAACTAACACAGAGGTAGTAGGGCATTCATTTGAAAGAAATTATTGTCCCTGCACTCATATTATATGTGGAGAGAAGGGAAAATGAGAAGTGGCATTCTGTGGAGTGCAATGATATTCAAAATACAGTATTGTATGAGGGATACGGATATTCTCAAGAACCGTTCTTTGAAGGATAGGAATTTTCCTACAATATGCCTATCAAAAATGCAAAAGTGTGTGAATTGCGGGCTATGTGTTCCAAATTTCGGTTCCTATTATTTGGACGACACCAGTCTTTGATTAGTATAGATCTCTATGAAATAGTATTATGTGAAAAATTGAAGGCTACAATCTAAGGAAAACAGCAAACCATTAATTACGCGCAGATGCAAGCGCTATAGATGTGTCGAATGTATTATTCCCGGAGTAATACAATAGAAGCAGAAATACTTGCATATGGACAATGCGAGGATTCTAGCGGAAATGTTGTTTGTAATGTACAGTGTCGAAGGAATGCTTTTCTGTGAAGGCCTCATAACATAGCGTTTTAGATACGACTAATTGGAGAACGTGACTAATTGAAGAATAATGATTTATGTGTAGTATTATTTAAAAAATATCGCTCCCCCCACAACTCCGGGCCTGTGGAATGTACGCTTAACATACAGTCTTATTATATGAACCATGCGTCTATACCTCCAGTATTATTTTGTGTACTGTATACATGTCTCCTGAATATTATTCTGCACCAGGTTTATATTTTACAGTTTTTTTATTTGGAGACTATTATTGGCTGAAGATAACACATCTCGATGGGGAACCATGATATCAGAAACATAATCGTGCGGGTTCTATAACTATGACTGAAATACCTTTATATGGAGAAGTTAGGACAACGGGTGCTATTATTTGAAGAATAGAATGATGCGAAGGATATACACTTCCTTGGAAGACTAATATATAAGGAGTACATTTTTCGCGACCATTATTAAGTATGTGAAAAGGAGACATTTCTCTAGAGTATCACTGCATAAACAGTAGGAGAATCACCAGAGTCCCTATTGTGGAGTCGTCAAGATTTAAAGCAGGAAGCACCATAATTTAAAAAGAAATATTTAGTAAGAGATAATAGAGTGGATTCAGCGGTATTCTTGGAGGGGTTCCAATCACTGAGCGTTACACATATATACAGAATATGAGATGCCTGCGGTATATTTGTATTGACTCTAAGAATCGGCCTTACAACAACTGCCTAAAGAATAAGCCTGTGTCAAGGGTAATATTCTATGTAAAACAGTGCTGTGTGAGGAGAAAAATTGTTTAAGATAATACAAACGTTTAGAGAGTCGAATTCCATGAGGAGGACGGCAGTTGTAAAGATCATCCCATTTCACCAATACACTGGCTTGTAAAATAATTCCATTCCAGGAATACGCATATACCAATCCTAAGGCTATTCATGGTGTATAAGGGACTGAGGGATACTATCACTAAAAAGGGTTTCAACATACCGAGGGTGCTTATATATAGGAACAACTTCTTATAGGCGAAGTAACACTATAAGTACAGTAATACATCGTGAACTGTGATTATTCCGTCTCGATATTATTGTAATATAAATTCAATAATTATCCGGGTACTATTAAGAAACAATGATTACGGAAAATTTGCACACTTGTCTTAATCTGTAGTATTTTCCTTTTAACAAGACTCGAGATCCATGCGGTAATATTAAAATATAAGAATCATGTAAAATGAGAGATTAAACTTCTTATACGCTAAAAAGGGATAGGAAATTATAAGAAGGAATAGTAATATAAGGAACAAGGTGTCTCTCGTGAAGAGTTAGGAATAATAATAAAATAAACCAGGGGGAGGGGATAAAATGAGCCTAAGAATAAGAATACACATAAGGTATTAAAGAATCATTAATCTGAAACGAGGAGGAGCAACCATATAGTAGCGGATGACTATAATAGAATGTATATACGAATAAAACTGACATATTTGAAAGAATTATCTACTTCAAAGAACGGAGGGAGATATTTATAATACCATATAATACACCAGGAGCCATTGGAGTTATCAACATGACCGTCAAAGTGGAAATGCCTAAAAGGAAAGATACATAATTACTAAATAAAGGGGAAACAACTCAAGAGGAAAGGATACAGGAAAAGATGCTCAGGGAATGAAGATTAGACACTACACCCAAGGGATAGGACCCAGAAACACAGTAGGGGTGACACATAAGGAATAATGTGAGCAGCAGATCTTTCCCTCTGACAAAATAGATATATGAAATCGGGGGTTTCATGTTTTCTAACATATAAACAAAGGAATAAGGACAGATAATATCTTGAATTTCTGCTGAGTTGATGGAGTATAATAAGTCGTACGATAACTTCATTTTTGTCCGTATCTAAGACTATAGAGGATGCTATAACGGCCGTCTCCTTATTCACCACAGGAGGCTGTAAAATGTTAAGTGATATTCATAACCCCTTTTATGCATAAGGGAGTATAAGCCTATACAATGCATACATTCCCCTATTGACATAAAGACATGTCCTATAGACGAGTCTTACACCAGCATAGAGTTATGAGATTCTTCTGAGAAATGAGAAGTGAATAAATACATGATCATTTTGGCAGTGATATGGTTTTTATATCAGTTTTAAGTGTAATGCTATATGGACATATAGACCATAATAGAAAAATTCCCTCCCTTAATTATGAGTCAAATAATTTTATGAATCTATTGTGTGTTATTCCACCTGATTAATTAACCCGAATTTTCGAAAGCATTGGTGAGTTGTGGGGATCATCTGAATCAACAGGGGACTCTTTATGTTTCGATACATTATCGTAATATACATTTACCCACCAGATGGCAGAAAAATAGATGTTTAAATAGCTGGATACAGAATGTTGTGGCTTATATGATATTTTCTTTGCTATATAGCATATCATGAGGGATGATATAAAGACGACTGTCGTGACCTGCTAAGGAATAGATAAGCAAAAGGATATAACATAGCGGGGGAACATCATATAATGGTTAGGAATTTACTGATAGGACATAGTGTATATTATAAGAGAAACAGAGGGGCAAGCTAAGAGAACGAAAGAACAGAAAGAGAGAAAAAAGGAATCTGGAGTTTGCGCCATAATAAACTAGATTAAGCCATAAGCGCCCCTGAATGGGACGAACTAGTGTAAACCACAAAGGAGAGTGAGAAAAAAGGCACAAGCAGCTAAGAGGGGGTACCAACGACAGCCGAAAAGGAAAACTATAAACACTGAAGGAGGTTTGATAAGGCATATGAAAGGATAGGAGGTATAGAAACGGACATCATAGACAAATCTTTAGAATGATGAGTATGCAGTACTTACTAAGAGAAGGGGAGCCGAAGGACCAAGCAGAAACAGGGGACAAGGAAGAGCAGAGACAAAAACAGCACCGAAGCCGAAGTATCCGAAATTTACCACCAGTATACCTCTACAAGACTAACCCCTATGGGAGATATAGAGTCATATATTATCAAATACCAAGAGAAGACAGGCCTGGAGATAATATAAAGATAAGAAGGAAGGGGGAAATCCCTAGACAAAGGGGAATTAATCTTAAAGATTAAGGCGTGGGGAAAAATCGGAATCTCCTTGCCTGAAACCCGCGAACTACGCGGGGATAGGATACAGTCATTAAAAATATATATTATAAAGACGCTGCAAACGAAACCAAATAAGAAAAGCACTAAGAGTAAGGATGATCTAGCAATAATACTAATAAATATAAGCGAAGGAAATGAGCAACGAGCCCCCCAACAGGGACTAGGCTTAATGAGAATAGGTCTATATGACGGAAGGAGTTATCAGAAGTTCCCTAAGGACTCTATGGAATACTTATAAAGTATAAAATTAATAACAGGATATACCTGCCACTAAGAAGAGGAACCTTGATAGGCCAAAGAAGAAGAAAAACGAGACTGGCCATTATAGAATCAGGTGCAAGTATCTCTCTATAGAGGGAGAATAGAGACTTTCGCCCCTAGAATAATTAATGAAGCTAAGGAAAGAGGAGCACCATATATAATGCAGGGGAAGAATTCACCTAAACCCAAAGGGCGCTACCGAAATAACAACAGCGAAGCAACAACAAATAAAAGATAAGGGCAATTAAATAAGAGTAAATAACCAGGGGGACATAAAGCACAATTAATAAAAACAGTGGCAAACCTCATAGGGGATGAGAATATTAGTGAGCAAATCAGCTTCAATAGAGAGGTATCGAGGGAGCTTAACAAAAAAACAGAGGCCCCGATGTAGAAGGCAAGACAGAAGGAAGAGATTCATAGGACACCGACAACTAAATCCTAGAAAATAGTGGGGTAGCGTTAAACGAGAGGCAACTGAAGGTGCTACATCAGGTAGAGTTATAAATACAGAAAAGATTGATTGAAGGAAGAAAATAAGAATAAACGACCAGTCACTAAAATATGAGAACAGGGCGAGAGCTAAATAAGCAGGCGAGCCAAACTGAAGGCCGAAGTACCTCGGGTAGATTATTAAAATAGAAGAAATCTCAAAAACTGTGTCATATGATCTAAACCAAATATAGAAATTCCCTGAATAAGACCCCCCAGAACTCTGCCATCCCCGGGGCAAACCTACCGGCGGCGAAGCAACATCAGAAGTACGGGTCCCCCCCCAGAAGACGAGAGAAAAATAAGGGTAAAATAATAACAGGGAAAACCCCCAGAAAAAGTGGACTAATACAGGTCACTTGCATCAGCAAATGACGAACAGAATGGAAGAATGAGAGCGAGCCAATGTGGAAGCCGGAGTCTTGAGAGCACTAGAAGGCAGGTGTTTAAAGCCAGCCGCACTGCACAATATAAAGCAAGGGGAGGCATCACCCCAGGTCAAGGAAGTATGAGCATTTTGACTTAGAAGTGGGATAACAAGTGAGTCAGGGACCAAACTCGAGTCCCTAATATTCCCAAACAAAACGTAAAGGCAGAGAAAAAACAAAACAGGAACAGATGGCAACGAGCCGAAGAAGAACTAGTCAGCAACAACAATAAAGGCAACCGTCCAAACCAAGTCAGCGCTCAGGGGATAAGGCTGAGGAGGCAGACAAACAAACAGGAAATGAAAAGCGATAAGCCCAACCAGTAAGAGGGGAATGAGTGGGAAAGATGCTTTTAGAACTGGAGAATTTGCAGGAGGCCCCAACTCCAAGGCAAAAATCAGCAAATCAGAGAAGACTAACGGGCAAACCAAAGACTGAGCCAATATCAGGGGGGGAAGAGGAGCTCTTTGACTAACCAATCGTCCTTCAAGTAAACAGAAAGGAAACATAAGAGGTGATACAAAGCCACGAAGGAAATAATAATGGAAGAGGATGCGGGTTACCACAGGTATGAGTTGATCAGATTTGCGAAGTCGCAATATAGAGCAGTCCCCAGAAAACGAAGCAGAAGATAACAGTGGATGTCACAGAAGGATGGAATATTGCCAGAGACCCGACTGCAAGAAAAGGAAGATCATTAGAAGAGTAATAGATGATGTAAACCTGGAAGGATTTCCTCAGAATAAGAAAAGGAAGAATGATATAGGATGAGCAGAAAAAGATACTCAACGTCAAGGAAACCGTTCAAGGGCCAAAACGTAAGCCAGCCAGATGAATATAATGAACGTCAAAGAGGCAAATACACTGCTAGATGTTCAGTCCGGAGCCCGTCACTCGGAAGAAGCCGAGAAAATTTAAACAGCCGGAAAAAACGAATCCCACAAAGTAGACAGTTCCGAAGAAAAATTAAGCTGACCCCGCGTCAAACAATAACGACTCAGGAAATGATGAATATCAGACCGATGAGCAATCCGCAGGCAAATTAGATAGAATAGATCAAGTAATTAAAGAATTCGGAGGAAGAAGGAGCAGAAAAAACATAAAAAGTCTTTCTTAGTCCCAGATCTACAGAACAGAAGCGACCAAGCTCCTCACGACAAGAGCAACACAAGGCAGGATCTGGGATCGAAAAACTAGAGTACATTAAAAGGAGGCACCCCGCCATAACTAAAGTGGAAGATGAGCTAGCAATATGCACTTGAAAGCCAACCGGGAGGGTAAGGGAACTAATCCGACAGCGTCCGAATACGTCTTCTATCAGGCGAACACCGAGAACAAAGCAACATGCAGTCATAGTATCCAAAAAACACAGGTTCAGATCCAAAAACAACAAGGGGGCACAGACGGAAAAACAGACAGGGTCATAAAAGTCGGAGTGGTGCATATAATGGAGGATACAAGCCAGGGAAGCTCCAGCAGGAAGGTCAGAAACCCCCCGAGACTAAGGACGTTCCAACTTACAAGTAGGAAGAACCTGGGCCAAAGTTATCTCTTCCGGTACAAGGTCCCGTAAGCAGTATCCTAATAACAGAGCTTGAAACCCTGGAAGGATAGGAGAAAGATGTCTACTCAGGAACCCCAAGTGGGGCAGGACAGAAAACAGCCAATCCAACTCCAGAAGATCTAAAAAGACAAACAAGTCAAAAGGGCTAAAGATGGCAACCACTCCATAAAAGGAAGGGGGAAAAAAGAAAAGAATCAAACAACAAGGGCAAGGATCGCGCCTTTTTCAGGATCAATAAAACAGGGACTCTCGATCCAAGCAGGTAGGACCCAGAGATAACCAAGGAGAAGTTCCTTAAGACTTCTCTGCATATACTCGTTCATAATGAACAAGAAACCATCAAGAACCCCAGAGACAACAGCTTAACTCAAGAGTCAAAACCTTCCCCAACAGGTACTCCAGCTAATGCGAAAAAGGCAAATCATTCTCCATTTCAACATGGAAGATCTGCCTACCAGATGAATAGCAAACCTGACTAAAGGTACAAGAGGTGACAGTGTCATAAGATGTCATGAAAAAGAAGGGACAACTCCTCTCACTCCCCAGATAATGTGACCGGAAGGCCACGAAGGAAAAGAATATATTAATAGAAGTAAGATGAAAGACTCTGTATCCCCCCTCACGTCTCCAGTACCTGGTAAGAGAAAAGAGTTCCTAAAGCACTAAGCAGAAAAAATTAGCCAACTGAATCACCAAAGCGGAGTTACAAGAAAGATAATCTCGACTCGCCAAGCAACAGAAGCCCCCACCACGAGATGAACTCCTCAGAGTTGTAAAGGCTAGATAATTATATCAAAACAAGAAAACTTCCCTTAGCTCAAATGTCAATAATGATAGAAGCAGGAAGAAATAACACAGCCGTCCCAGGCGAAAATCCAAATGTCAGATGAAAATTCATAAGAAGCTACAGTGGATAATTCAGAAAAAATAGTGAGGATAAGAAGATTCACTCAAGTTGAAGATCAAAAATTAATAACATTCTCAAAGAAGTCATTTACGGAACCCTAACCAAATCTAGATCATGTGAGCCGATTAGGAACCCATCACAGGAGAAAAAACGGCGAAGTATAAGCAGAAATCAAGATAAATTCTCCCAAAGAATAGGTATGGGAGATTTAGAATCAACAAATAAGGAAATACTAACATATCTGAAGTGCCCGGCCTCTTCTGACCAGAATAACAATTCTCCAAGCCTAAAAATTATGAAGGCAAGTATAAAAGGCGCCTGGTCATTTAATTTCCACGAAAATATCAGCATAGAGAAGTAAGAAAGGATTAGATCAAATAGATCCTGAGCATACCCCACTAATTAACAGGATGGGCGCACTTCGCCAATGCTACTCGGGGGACAAGAGCACTCCCTCGTATCTAAACAGCAGAATCTCAAAAGAATTTAATCATGTTAGATTCGACTCACTCTAAGAAAACGCCCTGGGAATCTCAGGAAACCAGATTTGGGCGGGATACAGAAGATTTTCTAATCCCCCCCGTATATAAGTGTGAAGTGAAAAGGCCTGACCAGGCGGTTAAGAGGCGGGGAAGACGGAGGAAGTATAATCTTTCAAAATCCAAGAAGGAGCAAACCAGACTAAGGAAACACAGGCAATAATCAAAACAGCTTCATTCAAGTCTCGGACTAGATCCACTTCAAGCATTGTGACTTTAGGATGTAAATTCTTCCTCTTATATTCCAGGGGGTGTCCTTTCTCTCCTACGAAAAGTTCGCCGAAGTCACTAGGTCACCGGAAGGAGGAGAAGTCGAGGAGAAAAGGAAATGGTCAGGAGAAAACTCCCGAGTTATCCTTTATGAGGATACGCTCCTGAGAGCCGAATGAGTATTAGCACGACAGAAGAAACTTAGGAAGTAATCAGGAAATTTCTGAGAGTAACAATATGGACAGAACAGTATGAAGATATATTATATCAGAGAGGAACAATAATAACCCCAAAGTACCACATCAGCTCCCTCACCACCGTCAGATCTTCGGAACATTCCTCCAACCTCAAAAGGAATCCAACCAACTCCCCAAGGAACAAAAAAGGGCCAATTCCGGCCGCAACTCTCCTTCCCCAACACAAATCTGATGCCGAAGGAAAAGTTTGACTGCCATCTCCAAGGGCTAGGTTGCTTACCATTGAACAACCCGAGGAGACGAAGTCATAAACAAGAACTAACTCTCTTCGGCCAAGGATCGTTTAGGGTCAAGTGTGAATCCGAGGGACTAGGGGCGGAAAAATGAGCTGAACAAACAAGCTAAACACAACAAGTGATCAAGGGTTTTATGATCCATTCCAAGTTCTAATTTCTGGAGAAATTCAAAGGATCAAAAGAAGATGAAATGTGAAGCGGCAAGTGAATAAAGTAATCTCTGTGGAGTAGTCAATATCAACATCCCCTATTGAGGGAGTAGATTCCGCAGTCCCTTCCCAAGGTCACAGGAATTCCTACCCCATCACCCAAAACAACCGGGGGCAGGTACAAAAAACTGTTTTATGAAAGTGTAAGACAGAATTTAAAAAAAGGAATAGATATGGAGAGTAATATGAGGACCGCAGGAGATTCCGAGGGGGAACAGAAGTTCAGGTAAATCCAAAGATTCCAAAACGTCAAAATCCTGTTGTAAGAGCCATACCAGTAGAGCTAGTATAACCCCCCAACAGTTCATAAAATAGGAGTAAAGGAACCTTTAGAAGTAATGTCTTCCACGACGAAGCCTAGCAGCTTAATCCGAGCTCCCACTACAAACAGCTCACCGCATAATCCCAGTGAAGGAATAAGCAATTTGAGCACACTGAGGGAGTAGCGACAAAGCGCAAAAGATCCTAATGGGGGACTGGGAATTCGCGGGAGGTATGTTAAGGTTTTTCAGGCGAGAATGTAGGAAGAATAGGGAAGATCCCCCCGAATATAAGTGGGCCCTGGCCAGCAGTAGATAAGATAGAATCCCTAATTCAGAGAGGAGAGAGAACTGACCCTAGAAGATAGAATACTGAGGGGACAGGTTAAATATGCGTGGAACACGCACTTCCGTTAGAGGGATTCGGATCCGGTAGGTTTCGTGGCAGGGAAACAGAGTCACGGGAGAGGAGGAGTATCTTCAGTATATCCTAGATAAGGGGGAGAAGAGGAGGAAATATCACGTAGTGTTCCAAGAAAAGAGCAACTCGACTCAAAAGAGTTATGACTTCTGAATGTCTTGTGGGAGAAAAGGGCGAGTTGGAATAAAGGATACGGAGCCAAGGAAAAGAGCAGAAATAAACAACAGCTAAACACAAGAATCAAATCAACCTTTGGTAGTTAGAATCTGAATGGAAGAGGAGGAACAAGCCCCTTTGGTGAGAAGATTCCATTCCGTTTTGCTTGAGGAGAATAATATATATTATTATTTGAAGTGAGGAGCCCGCCTAACCTCTGCGTCCTCCGAGGTTTAATTTAAAGGAAATGACTTTCTTCTCCAGGCAGGTAGAGAATGATTCCCTGCGTCAAATTAGGGACTTTGTTCTAGAGCAAAATAAGGGATAATTTTTCCCACTAGGGGGTTCATCATAGTAAGGATTTAGGAGGCATTATTTAGTTTTGTTCAGAGGATAACTCTTAAAGGTTGTTTATAAAATATAAATCCGAAGAGGCAGAATAGATAAGACAGGGGGGGTATTATTCTTAATAATCGGTAAAAGTGACCATTTCTGCAGTATCATTTAGTTTCCTCCTTCGAATCCAGAAGCCGCCGCCAGGAACTCGAAGTTCCGAACAAGCATCAGGGCAGAGTCGACCCCGAGATCTCAGATTAAAAGCTAAAAGGAAGCAGGGGACGTTAGAGTAGAGTTTCATTAAAAGCAATTTAAGTGAAGTTTAGCCCAGCACCTTCCCAGAGAATCTCAATTGACGGAGCCGGTTAGGTCAGAGTGCTACAATAATTTCTAGATGGCTAAGGATACAAGACTAGACGTTCCTTTTAAAAACTATATATTATCACTAGGAAGCTCCGGAAGAATCGGCAGATCAAAAGACAGCTTCTCAGATTCAGGGGAAGGAGAAGCGAGGTTAGAGTGGTTAAGTACTAGTGGTTCCGAGGAAATCGAGAAATGGAACAAGTTCAAGGAACTCTTTCCTGAGGAAGACAAAAGCAGTTCACTATGGCAGTATACCCTTTGGGTCTGTATGAGATTGGAGATGTGGTGGAATACGTTACCGACAGGGGCAAAAGCGGGGGCATATCAGTTTCCTGAAAATTGTGATATTCCTGCATTAGGAATACAACAGGGCAGATTGATACGTGATAGTCACTGCCAGCCAACCCACAAGGTGTGTAGTTGGGATACCAAAGGGAGAACCAAGATCTTCAAAAGAAGTACAGAGGAGGGCCGTGGATTGAGTATATGTCGAGAGTTGGTTTATCAGGTGATGTTATCGTTTGGGGTCGTAAATACAGATAATAGAACAAGAGATGAAATAAAGCGGAAGAATCCGTGTATGACGTTATATAGGAGTCTGACAAGTTGGGGAGGAAAGGAAATTGCCAAACAGATAATAACAGACTGGTTCATGAGCCTCGGGGAAGGGACCCAGGGGGGTCTCTCAGATTCCTTAGTAGGGACAGATTTATATGAAGTATTGACAGAGATAGTCTATGGAAAGGGCAAGGGGGATAAGAGTTTCACTTGTGAGAAGACTACAGATGAGGGAGAAATCGAGAGGGACGGCTTGGGGCCCTTTAGATTCCGAGAAAGGGACACTCAAGATGGAGGAGGGGGGGAGAAGTTGAATAGTCTTTCAACACAACAATATAGGGACTTGGAGGAGCGAATGAGGAAAGAAATATCCGCCGGGGGGGCGGGTCTAGAGGGGCCTAAAGGACGTCACACGTCCCCAGAGGGGAGTTCAGGTGACACGAATTCTAGAATCGTGCAGGCTCAGGAAGGGAAAGGGCAATCAGGTGGCGGGGGGCTAACGGGGAAACGGGACTTTGGGGAGGATTTGGGATATGGGCAGCGTAAGGACGAAATTGGGTCCTCAATTGGCCCTATCTTGGGGGGGGGGATAGTTGGGGTATTGGGGTTGATTTCTGGGCTTTATGGATATTATAGGATATTCTACCTTGGTCGTAGTTCGACTG